TTTGTGACTTCTGAAGATGAGGGCTTTTTTGTGTCCAATCAGGTCCGATAACACAAACGCTGAGCATACAGTTGCCAACCCCAAGTAAAGCGCGTGCTGGGTAAGCAACGAGGAAGGGAAAAACAGTCACGCTGAAGGCCAATTATACACAAAAGCTTTTAATTGAGAAGTGTACAATATGATTAATGCGACTGGAGTGGACGAAGTTTTCGATCCACCGAGACTAGTGTGGAGTAGTACTGCTTCATCAGTGATTCCAATTCCGTATGCATCTAAAGGAAAGAGGAGTGAAGCGCTGACAAATATCCCGGGGATCACAATGACTTGATATGCATCAACTGAAAGGCTACGACAGTGAGTGTTGTCGAGCGTGGCAGCCGATGACCATCCACGACCTCAACGAAACTCACCGATTTGCTGAACATAGCTTCCCCACTGACGTCATGTGGCTAATCGCTTCTCCCGAATCGCTCTAATTTCTCGGCACAATGCGCCACTTCCCAAGTTTAAGAGCTTCCTGACCCTGTCGCCTTTTGTTTGTTTACGCGTACTACCAAGCTGCGCAACAACATGTGACAACACCATTATTTTTTTCATGAAGCACCTGATTAACCTGCAAAAGTCTATAGACGTTGCTAAAATTAATAGAACCATAAAGTTTTAGTAACACACCATTTCACTTTCCGTACTGCATAAAGGACACCGCATCACATTCATTCGAAACGAGGCCGAAAAACAAGTCCATTGTTTTTTATAAAAAAAAAACAAATCAGCCACTTCTTCCCTTCAGTGATTGCCTCTTCGAGGACTTATCGTGACAAAATATTGCCCCGCGCGCAAAGGATGGGTGAGTCATAATTCCAACGACAAACAGAAACTCGGATCCTTCACCTGAGGGCCAAAAGACAGACCCAATCAACCCCAGACAAGCACAAAAACAAAAACCACGGAGTACCACCGAATTTCCCAACTTTAAGAAATGAGCCAATGGAAGGGGAGAAAAGAACAATGGAAAGGAGACACTGAAGGACAAATGTTAATGATACAGGTGTACAGTTAGTGAGAAAGCAAGGTACATTCAACCCCATAATACTCTTTAAGTGGCATTTGGGAGTCAAAACCGGATCGGAAGCGGGTATCTGGAATTGGTCCTTCTGGCAAATCCTTCTAAATAGAGCTAAAGGAAACAAAATAACCATTTGTAACTTTCCGGAAAAAAAGTTTCTCGAGATCTGAAATAAGAAAAATACTTTACTTGAAATAATGCATAGGACGAGTTTACATTGATAGTAAAAACTCCTTCTTTAGCCTGCAGTAACCATAATTAAAGACAAAAAAGGAGGAGATCCACCTTTAATTACCCCTTGCGACTATCGAAATGGGTGCAACCATCACCCGTATTAAAATGATCCCCATTGGATAGACCTCAAATACAAAAATGCTCAAATAAACAGCTATTAGGGATAAGAGACTCGGGAAAAAAAAACATTTTACCTTAAAAACGAAAAGCCATCATTTGAATGGTTGAACTTACAATTTATGGATCAAGAGATCTTGAGAACCCACGAGACACAAAACTAATCTTAGAGCTCCTGATTTTGATTTGAAATGGGCTTCCGCCTCTCTACTGACTGGAATTTCCACTCAGAAGTGAACCGTTCCCTTTTAGATGCTTTCTCATGGTCAAATGGTTCTTTGGATGATTCAGTAGTTGCGTCCAAAGGCAGGGAAATTGAGGAACCAGTGGCGGTAGCATCAACACCATGGACATTGGCATAGTTGCCACAACCTGTGCGAGACGCTCCACCATCAGGAGGAGAAGCTGGTGACTCGGCAAGAGAAGCATCAGTAGGGCTCTTGGAGGTAGTAGCAAGGGGCGTTTTGATGGAGGCGTTGAGGGAGGATGACGGTACGGTAAAGTTCCATGAATGACGTTGTCGATGCCTATCGACCGACTTCGAAGCATTTTGAACAAGATTTGCTGATTGGTTTTGATCATGTTCCGCGATATTTTGCAAAGTGTGCTCTTTTACAGAGGTATCTGGCGATTGCGCCACTGTCTGGCGCATATCAACCTATTTGTAGGACGAATGGAATTTAACAAAGTGAAATGAGGGGTTAGCATACGTTGATTGATCGTGAAAACTAACCCACCTCGAAGAACTTTTCGAGGCGGACAGTGTACTCATGGAAGAGCTCGATATTATTGTGATCGGCTCCATCGACCCAAAGAGGCTCAAGAGGATTCGGCAGACGTGCATACAATTCCTTTCCATGGTGTAGGCCAATCACATGATCATCAGTCCCGTGAATTACAAGGGTTGGAGATTGGATATGCTCAACCTTGTCGATGCTAAAATAAGATTCAAAGCATAAATAATGTAAGCGTTGGGACATGAAATAGTGGCAAATGAATTAAAGTAGGTAGCGGGTTGGCTCATCTAGAAAAACGAGGGACGCAAAACTTCTTCCATTTTCGGCACTAAACGAATTTTCAAAAAGGTGACATCATGAAAACCAGAATTTTAAGTCACCCAGACTGATGTCAGGTCAGAAAAGTAGCTCACAAAGCACCGACAAGACGAACTGGCCGACCTAAAACCGGGTCCTGAAGTTGGCCGCACAAGATGACCCAACTCACACATGGTAAGAACGACCTTAATAAATTCAATAGGATGAAACGCTGACAACGATTTCATACATCAAACAACTTGGTGGAATGAGTTTCACCAAACTAACCACACCGACATCACATATCAAAGCCTTGCGGGACTTAACTTTTGACTCATCTCCGCACTATACTGTCGCTTCACGATCACACAACCACCTCTGCCTGTGTGCATGGGAAACCGAAATGAAGCCTTTCAGACACCGTACATCCAATATTCCCACACGACCATCGTTATCTGCTGGCGTCCAGTAGCGCATTAGCACTACTTGCTAGTGGGCCATCGCATCTAATGGGCTAGTTGATTAATGCATAAATAGCGAGTGCGATAAATTAAACAAACGATCATGAACAACCGAAGCTATTAGGGAAATGACGCGCCACAGAAGACAAGCGCAAGCTAAACTTAAGAATTACCCGCCTCTAACTACCGTTTTTCCAACCTTACAACACTTCGTACAGAGGACGGAAACATTCGGCTTGTAGCGAGGTGGTAATATGACCCCAAATGGTGGAACTGATCCAATCGCCTTGTTGAGAAACCTATCATGAGTCAAACAGAGCCAAAGAGCCGCAACAATCTAAAGCAATGATGTTCAACAAATGTCAGCTTTGAATACTTCACCTTAGCCGGGACAACTTAAAATATATATAAAAGGCTAACAAATGTGTACCGACGTTAGGCCTTCTGGTAAGTCAACACTAAGAGACGCGAATTAAAGTGCACCTTCACCCAAGAGCAAACAGCCTCTTTAATGATATCTCTACAAAAAATGCCCGAGTGATTTTATGAAGAGTTCTAATTACAGAGCTCAGAAAAATCGGCTTTTAGACAAAATTTGCCCTATTACACAAAAATTTATGGTCTCATGAGCTTGGGTAAGCGAAAATGAAACAACGAAAAAGTGCACCTTAGAAGTTTTAGCCTAACTGACACGTGAAGTGAGTTGTTAGTGCATTGCATCACGTTAGGCGAGATATAAGTTAAAGAAGGGTTTTTCGATATTAACTGTTGAGTTGTTTTTTTTTCCGCACCACAAAGTCAAGGCAGGAGTAGGGTAGTGATTTCTCAGATTAGTTAATTCACCCAAAACCTCGGTAAACCCAAGATCTCACGTATGAAAGCATTTAGAGGTGTGAACCATACTACCAACAAGAAAATATGAATTTAAGTGATTAGTGGATCAAACAGAATAAGTATCAAACCTGGAGTGAATCAACTTAGCATAAAAATAATATTCTGACATTCTTGACAAGAATACAGAGTAAAGCATTGCAAATATAAGGACTACGTGGGATGTGACCAGCGCTCCAGGACCAATATTCACGGCCAGAGCGAGTGCTTTAATGCCAAACATTAACGCCTTCAAATCGCACATTCCAATACATTGAACGGATTGATAAACAGGTGACTAATCCACCGATGACCGTGATCGTAATCCTAATGCCTATGTGGTAGTAAAATGGTGTTTGTGTCTGCACGACATCAAAGCATGGGATCCTACTTGAAGTGGATTTGCAGAGTTCAGAATGAAATAAGGACTGGTAGCCAAGATGATCAAGACACGTAGACAAGTAAGTGACAAAGCTAGGGTTCAGAAACAAAATTGTTTGGTCTTGAAGATTATACCAAACCTCATATAAAAGCACGACTTGTCACCAAGGGTCCCAGTTCAGCGGTATTAAAGAAGAGTGATTGAAAGGAAAGCTAGCACAAACTTACCTATTAAACGGGTCAAAGCAAAATCGACGAGTAGTTCCTGGACAGACTACCCGAAGACCAGACATCAAGGCCGAATGCAAGACAACGCCAGCAACCTATAAAAATTTTGAAACAATACCTTTGAGATGAAGCCTAATGAACCTGTGGGTCCAAAGATGGATTTTGCAGGACAGTGGTACATAAAAAAAAGCCAATCACACTTTTATCAACAATAACACGGTGTTACATTTAAGCAACAGAGGGGGACAAAATTGTCTTATATTCTAGTGCTCACGTTCATGACCTCGAATGGATTGAAAAGAAGAATGCTAGACAAAGAGGATCAGCAAGTGTAAGGTAGTTGATATTCA